TGACTTGTTTTGGGTCAGGCCTATGAATGGGCACTGGAGTAATCCAAAGGGAAAGCCATGAGCAAATACAGTCGCATGCTTTCCCTTGTGCTCCACTGCAAACACATTTGCTCGCAGACTTCTTTGGAGACTGAGTTTCTGTCTCTGGAAAGCCATGATTCTTCTAGAAAACATCTAATCACAATAAGAAGCTGGAAAGTAGCAAATGAGTTCTAAAACAAATATCCATTAATAAAGACAAAGTCTTAATTCTCAGATTTTCCATGAGGTGGAATGCTCAGTTAACTGACATTTGTAGACAAGACCAACTTTGTGGGTATGTGACCTGTGCTGTCACACAGGACACTTGGTTGGATGCTTATCTGCCATTGTTTCAGAATTCTTAATATATTTTTAATGAGGATCCCCAAATTTCTTTCCACTCTGCACCAGGCCACACAAATTTTGTAGCCAGTCCCGTTTGTAGATCTTACTATTGTTACAACCTCTTGTATTGTTAATTAATTTGAGACACTATAAACTCTAAAATACTTTGTGAATCTGGGGCACCTGGGTGGCTCAGTCGGTTAAGTGTCTGACTTTGGCTCAGGTCATGATCTCATGGTTCCTGAGTTATAGACCCGCGTCAGGCTCTGTGCTGACAGCTCAGAGCCTGCAGCCTGCTTTGGATTCTGTGTCTCCTCTCTCTCTGCTCTTCCCCGTCTTGCACTCTGTCTCCCTCTCTGTCTCAAAAATAAATAAAACAATAAAAAAAATGCCTTGTGAATCTTTTCTGAATGATCGCAGGTGCCATTTATACAATATTTATGCTTTTATAAGATTTTTATTGACCTCCTACAATGTGCCTGGCATTATGCTAGACTTAATGGAAAATAAAAAATGAAAATGACAATAACTCCTGCCTTCAGAGGAGCTCTCATTGTAGTGTTAAGCATTTGTTATGTATTTCTGGCTTTGAAAATTGGTAATAATTGCATAAAACTGGTGGCCAAAACTGAAAAGTAGGTTTCTCCGTATGTGTGCAAGGCAAATGCATACATGATCCAGAGGAGCTAAGTTTTCATGAAGAGGTATTTGTAGATGGTCATTTACCAACGATCATTTTTCCCTTGTAAAATACACATGGTATTTGGAGATGGTCACTTTTTCCTTGTAAAATACACATGGTATTTGAAGATGGTCATTTTTTCCTTATTAAATACACATGATATTTGGAAATGATTACTTTTTTCCTTGTAAAATACACATGGCATTTGAAGATGGTCATTTATTTTTTCCTTGTTAAATACATATAGATGTAACCATGCCGGATATTTAAATACTCAGAAGTTTTCTTTTATAATTTTGGTTGAAGAAAATTGGCTCACTTGTTTGATTTTCAAAACTTAGTCTAGAAAAAATATTTAAAAAGAGATTTAATAAAAAGACAATTTCTGAAATTAATCCTCATACTTACCATTTTTTGCCTGGACCAAAGAAAGTATTGTCTTAGCATTCTCAACCCAATGCCAGAGAGGTTGTTATCTGGACCAATTTCCATGGTTGGGCATGGTATTCAGGCCACTTGCTGCAAATGCAGAAGAGGAGAATTTCCCAGCAGCTTGTGAACCCACAGATAATCAGTCCATTCCCATTTTGTCAAATCTACCCCATTATATATATCTTACTGGCTCAGAGTCTTGAAAAGTATCTTTAGAAATGCCATTCCCATCTCCAGAATTAAGCACTAGGAGTAATGTACTATATTGCCTGATGTGAATTTATCTAGGCATGGACTTAAACACCGTATGTGTATTATAAGAAATAGTAACAACCTTATATGATATTGCTGGTTAAGGCATCTCCCTAGGTCAAATTTATGAGATAGGGTTTATGTAGTAAGTACAATGATATGTAAAAGAAACACTGAATTTAACACATAATGAAAATGTTTCAAATGATGGAAATCTTTCCTATTGTTATAAAATACAATAAGTGTTATGTGACAAACACCTTAAAAAAATCAACACTTTATGAAACTTCAAACCAAGTCATAGGATTATTTCACTTTGTTAGTAGTGATCCTCTTGTCTTAAAACAAAGAATTAAGCAAATACAAAATTAGGTTGTCCATACATTTTTTAAATACATGATTACTATTTTTTCCAGCATTTCACAGAGCCCCTTTTGAGTTGAAAACATATGTGTGACTTTCTCAACTTCCATTAGTCTTCCCAGTAGTTTACAATAAAATAATCAGAAGGAAGAAATACACGCTTTTGGCAAGGAAGGGTAATCAATTTTTAGTGCCTATCTTTCTGTAGGATGTGAATACATAAGTACTTTGCTACATGATTGAATAAGGTAAGGTAGTAAACAGTCATCTGATATTTCACAATCATCATTCCTTCTAAAGGAACAATCTCACTTTCTGAAACAATAACTGAATGAAAACCTTTTTGTATTTTGCAAACCTAAATAAAAATATTTCTATAAAATACATATACATTTTTGCATGTGTATACAGTTTTTTTACTGTTTGTATGTGTACACAATTAGTTTTTACTATTGGTGTATACACTTTTTGTATTCATCAATAGTAAAAAAAGAAAATGAATTGATCCTCTGCCTTCATGAATAATAATTAAAAACAACAGCTAACATTTTACAGAATTTGAGTTTGATATTTTGTGGCATTCTGTTGATAATCAGAACTGTCCATCATCACATATAACAATAAGGTCATTGGGGGAAAAAATGAAATAAGAGAATAAGGCCTTCAAGATATCAGCTTTATGTTGATGAATCCGTCAATACCTCAGTTCCCTATTCCTTTGCCTTTCTGAACTGTGTTTATTTAAGCAGTCTTGAGTGTTCTTGCATATTGACTACAGAAGCTGAAATTGATGGAAACAAGGTTATTCTTTAGTTAACTGACAGTTTGGATCCTTGATGTTCAACAATGGAAAAACCAGAAATGATGCCCTGCCAGAAGAAAGCAAATGAAGGCAGTAAAGTGAGAAAGAAAGCTAGCTATAGGATGCATCATTTACATACCAGTGTCAGAAATTTAAAATTGTGAAGAGCTTTGAAAGCTAGTTGTGTCTATGATGTAAGCAAAGCCAGTTTTCATTGCACAACATATTGGCAGAGATCAAACATGGTTACTATTTGACAGCTACCCATGACCTAGATGAGAAAAGCTCCAGGCCAGGTTTCTTAACAGACAAATGTCCATTTTACTAATGGCCTTCATGCAAAATAGGGCAACACCAGAATGAGTTATAAAATGGGTTTCAAGGTGACATATGAACAACCATTGGATATATGTACTTTCAAAACCTTTTAATTTTGAGGGGCACCTGGGTGGCTCAGTCAGTTGAGCATCCAACTTCACTTCAGCTCAGGCCATGATCTCACAGTCATGAGTTTGATCCCCATGTTGGGCTCTGTGCTGACAGCTCAGAGCCTGGAGCCTGCTTCGGATTCTGTGTCTCCCTCTTTCTCTGCCCCTCCCCCACTCATTCTCTCTCTCTCTCTCTCTCTCTCTCTCTCTCTCTCTCTCTCTCTCTCCCTCCCCCAACCCTCTCAAAAAGATAAATATTAAAAGAAAAAAATTGTAAAAACTTTTAATTTTGACCTCACAGTGTTAACCCGACATATAATCCTAGGGTGCTTAATCAACTTAAGGAATTAATAATAGTTTTGCTCTCCACTATCTGTCACAGGAAGAAAAATATCAGGTCTGATTTATTTTCAGTGTATTGGAAAGACTCTTTTTACCTTGACTTTTGTGAAATATGATAATAAGGTTTTTAATGGCACTTTTTTTTTCTATTTTTATTTGGAATCATACAGAACCCAAATTATGAAAAACATACCTCAAAGTGGATAAATATCTTAAGTGGTTTGGGGGTTTTGTTTCTTCACTGGTGTTGAAATAGCAGGGTGGGAGCAATATATTTAACAATTTTCTGTGCTATAAAAAAAAATGAGACCATTGACTATTGTTCTTCACGATAATAACTCAGTAATATTCTAATGAGGACAGGTTTAGCTAGTCATTTAATATATCTGATACTGGAGGTATAGTTTCTAAATAAGACGAAACAGAATTGCTAGACTCTGGGCTCTACTCTATTGACTGGGCTCCACTCTGTCAGCCTATTGGCTGCTTTCCGGAGCTGAGAATAATCCTGAGTTCAACAAATAGTTTTGGTTGAATGAATGAATTCATTTGAAAGACTATGTCATGCAGTGGCACCTTTGAATCTGAACTTAAAGATCACTAATTCAGGTTCCTAGTATTCCTTCTCAGCTCCTTGCAAAGAGTTTTAAGGTTTGCCTAGGAGCCTTATATTTTTCAATGTTTCAAAAGAAACAAATGTTTCTTTTTTTTATTTTTTTAATGTTTATTTATATTTAAGAGAGAGAGAGAGAGAGAGAGACAGAGCACAAGCACGGGAGGGGCAGAGAGTGAGGGAGACTGAATCTGAAGCAGGCTCCAGGCTCCAACCTGTCAGCACAGAGCCCGACACGGGGTTTGAACTCATGAGCCATGAGATCATGACCTGAGCCGAAGTCGGAGGCTTAACCGACTGAGCCACCCAGGCATCCCAAATGAATTTTTCTAATGCAATTGCTTCTGCTTTTGTCAGCTCTCAAGGAGAAGGAACACCGTGTGATGGGAGGTGTAGTACTACATTGGGAGGATCACATTTTCTGAGTGAGACAAACCTGAGTTCTGATCCCAGTTCTGCTATTTACAAACTACCTGCATGCTCAAGGCATTATATTTACCCTTCCTGATGTTGAGTTTTTTCATGTGCAAAAATTAGAATAATAATGCAAATCATTAACTGAGCAACAAGTCTATAGACCTAACATACTGCCTGATGCATAGCAGGCGCTCGGGTACCTAATTAAGTCATTTATGAGTCACTATTTTTAAATGAATAGCAAGTAAATGGCAAGTGACTACAATGATTTGAATGTTTTCCACTTTCTTCTTGTTTTACCAGATGATGACTTTTTTCATGAACTCCCAGAAACCTTTCCATCCGATCCACCTGAGCCTCTACCACATTTTCTTATTGAGCCCGAAGAAGCTTATATTGTGAAGAATAAGCCTGTGAACCTGTATTGTAAAGCCAGCCCCGCCACCCAGATCTACTTCAAGTGCAATAGTGAATGGGTTCATCAGAAGGACCACATAGTAGATGAGAGAGTAGACGAAACCTCTGGTGAGTTTTCCGCTGCATTTGAACCACCGTTCAGGATGTACTTACTAACTACTTGGGCATGTTGTCATACTGTGCTTTCACTTGTGAGAATGAAAATGGAGTTACTATCCTTTGGCAAAAGTTTTGAATCAGTTTGGGTGGGATTTGGTGGTCTTGTTCCATGCACTGCAAAACAAAAGGGTATGGATACATCTTGACTTGATGCGTAATGGACATAGTTCATGATTAAAAAGATAAATGAGGAAAACAAGTAGACCTGATGGATGCAAATGCCCTAGCAAAACATGAGTTTTACTTGTGTGTCAATTCTGGTGTCATGTCTAAATATCCCGGGATTGGGGAATATGTTCAACTAAGGATAAGTTTGTAATATTTGTTTACATGACTATCAAGTCTTAATTCACATACATAATTTCCCTTTATATTTTTAAACAACTTGCAAACGTTGCACCTTTGAAGTATCCTGTATCCTTAACTTACATCTAAAAATAAATCCTCAGTCAGTTAAGCATCCGATTCTTGATTTTGGTTCAGGTCATGATTCCAGTGTCATGGGATCAAGCCCTGCCCTGGGCTCAGTGCTTAGTGTGAAACCTGCTTAAGATTCTCTTTCCCTCTGCCCCTCTCCCCTACTCATGCTTGCGCGTGCACTCTCTCTGTCTCTAAAATACATACATACATAGAAATAAATCCTAATTATCTAACTCTTGGGTAAAGTTAAATTGAGAGTGATTGAGAATAGTGATAGTGTGGGATCCAGGAAGAAGTGAAGTGGTAAGGATAGCCACCATCTGGGTGAGTCTTGATTAAAATACCTTTGTTCTTGGCATGGTGAAAACACCTGACTTTGTTGCTCTATAAATGTTATCCCTAACAGTAAAATACTAAAGGCATAGACACAATAAAGGAGATTTTTAATAACCTGTGGGATTTAGATTGGCTAAAAGGGAAACTTTCTTGATAGCAATTTTTTTTCTTGATAGCAATTTTTTACTCCACCATGGGTGACTTAAGATAGTTGCAGAATCTCCTAGAGTTATTTTAAATTGGAAAGATGTATATCTTTGTACAGTGGTTTAAGTGCTTTTGTTCCCTAGCAGTGAGAATAACAATTTGAACTTTCAGATCCATTCTAGATCTGTGATTTTTTTTTTAATTTTTTTTTTAACGTTTATTTATTTTTGAGACAGAGAGAGACAGAGCATGAACGGGGGAGGGGCAGAGAGAGAGGGAGACACAGAATCGGAAGCAGGCTCCAGGCTCTGAGCCATCAGCCCAGAGCCCGACACAGGGCTCGAACTCACGGACCGTGAGATCGTGACCTGAGCCGAAGTCGGACGCCCAACCGACTGAGCCACCCAGGCACCCCCTAGATCTATGATTTTATAATATTAAGACATGCATTTGAAATATTAAGAATTCACTGATCAACATTTCCAAGCCAAATAGCGATAAATATTACAAAAGTGAAACCATTTACATATCTTTACTTTCTTTCATAAATAACTCTACCTACCAAAATAGATACGTTTTCAAAATCCGAATTGTAATTGATTCATATTTGTGTACAGATGTCAGATTAACCAAGGGCGAGCAGATACCAGCCCTTGAGAGACAACTGTGTTCCCTATCTCTAACAACATGAAGGGATAGTGAGGTGATAGGACATAAAGACATGGAGCAGACTGTGAGAGGACAGAGAAAAGGCATCTTTTAGAAAAGCAGGTTGTGCATATATTGATATAACATAAACGGTCTTAGAAAATCAGGTGGCAGCTTTACATAACTGTTTGTCAATTTGTGAATCAATATGCTCGCCGCATGCCATCTGATGGCTGTAGAAATAACTGGGTATCCAACTGTATGGTGGCTTTACTTCAGGGAATTGTCCCGCCTCTCATTCTAATTACTCAGAAAATAACTCCACCAGATGTCTACAAAATCTCAAGTGAATTAGTTTTATTTGTTTCAGCTCATTTACTTGTAAAGATTTCAAACACACAAGTTTGAATGGTAAGAGGAAAAAGAAAGACATCACAAAAGCTGAGATGAAAGTCACAAACCTGTTTAGGCTTGTCTTTACTAAATTAATGAAAATGCCTCTATAGGAAGAGTAGGAATAAAACCAAAACTGCTCTGATATTGAGCTCTTGTGCCAGCTTCGTGGGGTGATGGTGATACATATGTGTGCGTGTGTGGGTGTATATATTTTAGTAAGACGTTTCCCTTCTTAAAACATTGTATTTGTTATTATTTCCACATAAAAGTAATTAGTATGGCATATACCAGTTATTAAAAATATCTTCTAAAGCAGTTTATAAATGGAAATGTGTGGCATGTTTTCATTCGAATTCAGGACGGGACAGATGAGAGCTAAAGGCAGAAATGGCAGCTGTGAGGGGTGCCTGGGTGGCTCAGTCGGTTAAGCCTCCGACTTCAGCTCAGGTCATGATCTCATGGTTCGTGGGTTCGAGCCCCGGGTCGGGCTCTGTGCTGACAGCTTGGAGCCTGAAGCTGCTTAGGATTCTGTGTCTCCCTCCCTCTCTGTCCCTCCCCTGTGTGCGCGCAGTCTCTCTCACGTGCTTAGAAAAAAATAAACATTAGAATAAATTTTTTTTAAAAAATGGCAGCTGCTAGACTTACACATCTCTCAGATTGATAGTTGGAATGAAATGCCATAGACCTTGCTGTCTTTCATGTTCATCCAGAACTTTACAAGAAATCCAGCATTGAGACAGTGGATTACCTTTAAAGTTAGGAAAAAGACAAAAATGCCCTCGGACACCGTATTATTTGGCATGCCCTTAACATACGAACCTGTGCAAATAGACAAGACAAATGATTGAAAAATACAAAAATTGTAGAGAAAGTGGGAAAATAATCATTTTTTGACAGATCATCTGGTTTTGTATATCTGGAAAACATGCATTTTTAAATAAAAAATTGAAAAAAAACATCAAGAGAATACAGAAAAGCAGCTGATAAAAGATTCATATAACCCTTCAACTTTTCTTAGTACATCTGGCCAGTTCAAATTATAATGGAATAAAAGATAACATTTACAATAACAACATAAAAGAAAATATGTGTGTATAAAGCTAACAAAAATTTGCAGAGTTTTAGAAAGAAAGCCTTTAAATTCTACTCAGAGTAGGAAAAATACCATGATTAAATAAATTGAAAGACATGTCTTGTTCTTGGATAGAAAAGCAATATTTTTTGAATGTTTGCTATTTATAAATGAATCATAAGATGACCAACGTTGTATGAAAAGTAATTTGTAGGGGCACCTGGGTGGCGCAGTCGGTTAAGCGTCCGACTGGCCAAGGTCACGATCTCCACCTAAAATTGAGTTGGAGCAGCACGTCAGGCTCTGGGCTGATGGCTCCAGAGCCTGGAGCCTGTTCAGATTCCTCTCCTCTGCCCATCCCGTTCATGCTCTGTCTCTCTCTGTCCCAAAAATAAATAAGCGTTGAAAAAAAAAAAAAAAAAAAAAAAAGTAATTTGTAAAAATAACTGGAAGAGTTCTGAAATAGTATTATAATGAGGGAACCCCAACTCTTTGCAAATATAAAACTAAAGAAATTAAGAGTTTGAGCTGAACAGAAAATAAGACCTACAGATTAATAGATTAAAATAGAGACCAGGAATTCGATTACATTTTAGTATGGTAACACAAGGTGGGCAGTTGGAAACTGAATGAATGAATGCATGCATGCATGCATGAATGAATGAATCTTGGATTTTATCTCATTAATTAGAATACAATAAGTTCTTGATTTAGGGCCTAATGTTATGCATCATCATCACCACCACCATCATCGTCATTACTCATTAGGAGAAAATTTTGGCATTTGTTTGGATGGTTGGTTGTGTTGGTTTCGATCAGTGACAAAAGTCTTTTTAATAATAAAGAATTAAGAAATCATATAAAGAAAGCTTTCTTATTTTGAATATCCAAAGCAAGAAAACCACAAAGCTGAGGGACAAGCACACACACTTGATTATATCTGTGGATATATATATATATATATATATATATATATATATATATATGTTATGATATATATATATATTTTTTTTTTTAACGTTTATTTATTCTCGAGACAGAGAGAATAGAACGAGATGAGGGGGGGCAGAGAGGGGAGACACAGGAGCTCGGGAAGCAGAGGCTCCGGAGAAACCACAGGCCATCAGAAGCAGCCCAGAGCCCCGCGGGGCTTTCGAACTCACCAGGACTTCTGAAGATGGTGACTGGAGCTGAAGTCGGACGCTTAACCGACTGAGCCACCCAGGCGCCCTGTCTGTGGACATATATTAATCAAAGAGCTAATTTAACTAACATGTTACTGGTTCTTAAAGTATATTTAAGAAAAATATCAGCAACCCAAATGGAAAATTGGGGAGAGGTTGAACAGGAGTATATAGTAAAGGAAATGCAAGTTGGTAAATAAGCATCTAAGATGGTGTCAAGATCAAAACAGTATCGAGTGTTGATAAAGGAATGGGATAGGGAATATTTCATCCTTTATTAATGAGGTTGCAAATTGGTACAGTCTTTTGGATTTTACCAGGCCAATTTGAAGATACCTACCAATATTTAAATGTATATACCCTTTTACTTGGTAATTACAAATTTAGGATTTAAAAATAAAATTCCAAATGAGCACAAAGACTGAAATGCAAGGTTGTTCATTGCACCCCTATTGCAGAGGCATACTGAGAACTGTTCATCCCTACATGGACTACTATGATGTTTTGTTTTGTTTTTTTTTAAATAATGAGCTTTCTCCATACATGAAGCTGTAGAAAAATCTCTCACATAAAATTTGAAGTGAAAACCAGAGTACAGAACACTGTATGTAATATGTCCTCATTATGTAAAGGATGCACATATATTTGTCTATGCATTGGCATGTTTTGGAGAAATATATAATAAGCAGTTGACAGCTCAAAATCTGGGGTGATAGGAGATTTCTTTTATAGTTTGTTTTCTTCAA